TAATAAATTTATATTAATTCGTAAAATTTCTATTTTATCCATTTATCTGTTATTTTTGGATGCAATAAAAAATGGATTCGACGAAATATTTTTTTGATTTTCATACTTTGTAGCCTACGGTTAGAGGGCGTATGAGTATTTTATCTGCAAGTGGCTGGGTAAGATGTCGATTACTATATAAGGACGAACATTTTTGTAGATTCCTAAGCGTGCGTATAAAGCGAAGATGCGTTTCATTGTAGCGATTAAGCGTGTAATTATTGCGATCAGTGTGCGATTATTTATATGCGTTGAGACGTACACAAACTGGACACGAGACACAAATAGTGAAATAGTAAATGTAAACCAAATGTAACATAAATTGTAAATAAAATATATATATATATATATATATAAATCCAAAACATCGCACAATAAATGTGAAACCTAAAGACGTGATAAAAGAAAATGAAATACATGTCTTGACATGATTCTCTTACGACTAACGTTTTTTTCAAAAAACCGAAATTCCAGGTAGAAGATAAAGTGCGAGTGAGCACGTCTAAATAAGTTTCTAAAAAAGGGTATTCGTCTAATTAGACGTTTGGTTTACAGAAATTTTTACTGTTCATCATATTTTGAGAACTAAACCTATAACATATCACCTGCTAGATTACCAAGAAAATTCCATTGTTGGTGGCTTTTACGAGCAAGAACTACAAATAGCTATGTATTCTGATATCTATATTCTGGAAAAAATTCTCATAAGACGGGATAATGAAGTCTTTGGAAAATGGCTCGGCTTTGGCAATACTCACAATTCTTGGATAAATAAGAAGACTATAAATTAATGAATTACAAATAAAAATGGCCTAGCCGGATAAGATGGTCGAAACTGCCCCCAACGGTTAAGCCAAGCGGAATATGGCATCTTGTAGGGCTTGATTAGAAACTCTTCTGACCAAATTTTCAGACCCCTAGGTGGCCAGGGGCACCCTGTAGGTCCAAAAAAGGATCAAACCGTTTTTTGAGATAACTCGGCTTCTATAATAGCTAACGGAACCAGCCGAACGGCAAAAAATTTGTCTTAGATTTTTAGAACGGATTCTAATTTTTAAAAATTGAAAAAAAAAAAACAAAAAATAACTCCGAGCTTGAAAAAATTTATTTTGTTTATTTTATATTCCTCTATATACTCAAATTTTTTCAGATTTTTTCAAGTGGTGGAACATCGATAAAAAAATTAATAATCATTTTTCGATCATTTTTCCTACGTTTCCGACGTTTCACTCAATTCCATCGATCGAAAATCATTCATTTTTCTATATTTTGTCAATTCTATAGTTACTGCGATTATATATGATGTCTTTATACCATCTAAATGTAGATTGAAATTGAGTTACTGAATGTAGGTCCTTATTTTGGAGTCTTTGTCTTGAAAACGCGTAGAGATTATTTTTTGCAAATAATTGTATTTCTGATATCAATGAGGTATTTTGCCTTGTGATGTCTCCGGGTAAGATGGCGAATACCTAGGGACAAAAATGTACAGGATTCATATGGGAGTCGGATATACTATCTGGTTCAGCATTTTTTCTGTCTTGGGAGGCCGAAATTAGCGGGTTATCGACCGAGCATTTCGGCCCGCAAGACATAAAATGTCTTATGGAGCTGGAGATTCCTTCAAGTTGAGCTGCTGCATCTATTGAATGTGAAGTATTTACTAGTATCGTTATTTTATACATATTCCAAAGTGAATGATTGATTCTAATATTCATAATTTTATATACAAATTATTTCACTCTTGATTGCTGTGTTTACGTACTGTAATTCAGTATAAATGTATCAATTTGTAATAATAACATGATCTGAAGGAAAGTGGAATGAGGACTCGGCCTGAAAAAACGGACCGGTCGAATTTATTAAACAAACTCTTGACAGCCTTAGACCTAGGTCAAACGTACATACTTCCTGCATCAAATCAAATAACAACCGGCCTTTGCAAAAAAAAAATGTTTTGTAACTGAAGGTTTCCTTTTATGTAATTAAATCCATTTTATTTAATATACAGTGAATCAGTGGAATTTATTTTCAAGAAGAAAATAATCTATAACAGTAATAATAGATTCAGGATTTGAGCATAGGTGTGTAGTTTTTAATTATTTATGTGACTATTTTTCAATAAAGTTTATGAAGCATATTAAGAAATTATCATTGAAATCAATATGTACAGAAAAGATGGAATATATTTATTTATTTTACAGTAAATAAAAACTCCAAGTTTCTTCTCTATTAATAGTATTCTACCTTTAATACGTTTATATTCATTCAGTAAATTATTGAATACATTTACTGAAACCATGTATCTTTGTTTGTTTATTATAATTTCACTACTCTTTGGTATTTGTAAGACTTCAAATCGGGTGTTCTTTTAGTTGAGCTATAACAAAAATAAAATATCCAATTTTTTTATTAAGCCTTACATGTTGATATTCCACTTCATATTAAAGTCAAAATTCCACCCTAGATAATAACAACTTCCTGTTAGTTTTATTCTATTATTTGCTATAAATATATTCTAATCAATGGACACATTGTTACTGCGTACCAAAAAAACAGAAGTTATCAACATTTTGATTCTTACTAAATCAAGTGTCATCTGCATATGTCATAATAAGATGATCAAGTTGAACAAGAAGATCATTAAGAGGACCAGCTAGTGTTAAAGCTAAAATTAACGAAATAAATATTCAAAGTAGAATTATTGAGAATTGTATAGTAATGAATTTTTACTTCTGACATAGACTCCGTAACCTACTGTTTCATATACTTACGTATGTCTAGTTACTGATGGTATAGCTGGGAATGTCTTGCCAACCAATTATTACCAACAATCATTTTTCGTAGACTTTCAAGAAATCTCTCTGGGCTAGATTATTTTGCATGGAGGTTTCATACACCTTTTTTAAAAAATCAACACTGAAGAAAAATAATTTTAAAGTATGTGCACTATGTTTTACTAATTTGATTTATGAATCAGAATCTTGTCGCTATATACTTCTTGAACTATATATTCAGTTTAAATTGATCATTTTTAATGTTTATACGATGCTCCACCATGAAAATATCAAATATATCCAATATAATGTATTCGACCAAACATCTTTGGTTTCTAGTCAGAAATCTAAAAGTCTTTCCTGACAATCAACTTTTATTGAACTTCACACATGTATTCTACATATAAAAAGAAGAATTTTGGTCACCTCCAGAATTTCTTAGACCATTTCAAACCCAAGTTATTGCTAATTAAAGGTTTTTTAAAACCAATTTTCAAAAAGTTTCATGCCTCCACTACTTTGAGCAAAAAAATTGCTTGAAGGCTCATTTTCTTCCTTCAAATCAATAGAACAAAGTCTTAGATCCCAATTTTTTTCCAGGTATTTTTTACAGCAAACTAAATCAAAGGATATCAAGCAATTACATAGAAAATACTATTTTTCAATATAATTAATCTATAAATTCTGTATATATTGGTTTTGTTTGAAAGCAATTCAATCCACCACTTTTCCAAAACCAAGACTTTGTTCTATGGGTCTTGAGGAAGAAAATGAACCTCCGAACAATTTTTTTTGTCAAAGTAGTATACCTACGCAAGGATTATTTTTAAAAATGCCTTTAAAAAAACCTTAAAATATTAATAAATTGGGTTTGGCATTGTCTAAAAAATCCTGCAGGTAACCAAAAGTCTTCTGTTTTCATGTGCATACATACAAAGTTTCAAGAAAGTTGAATGTTAGGAAAAAATTTTAGGATGTTGGTCAAATCAAGTAGCAACCCACCTTAATATGATTTCAGTTGTAATTTCACTTTTCAAAAATATTCAAAAATATTCATGAAGATCCACTTCATTTCCATTCGAGTTTTGTTGAATAAAACCTGTAAATAATAACAAAGCACTCACAAAGAGTCATATTCTACCTATTATTACAATACTAGAGTTCATCAATACTTATCTGAATGGATGTCATGTTTTTGAGTATACATTGAAAACTGTACTTGTCTTATTACTGAAAACAATTAACTCACACAATAATATTAACAAACATGCGAAGTGTGCAATCTATTAAGAAGAGTAGAAGACAAGATACTGTAAACAGTAAATATAATGACATGTCCAACTAACCTTAATGCTACAGGGGGTCTAGGCAGAGTGTGGCCAAACCGCGTCTCTCGCGCTGATTGGTCGAGCCAGTTTTGGGACAATATGGCGTCCATCCCCGTGCATTAGTATATCTATATATATAGTGCAGCTTCGTTTCCAGTATGTTTACGTTATGGATTGAAACTATTGACGTTGATTCTTGTTGATTTTTACATTCGCATCGATTTAGTAATTTAGTCAAGTACTTGATAAAATAAAATGATGTGTTGAAAACAATATTGCACCTCGCTGACATTGATGCAAATGCTTTGATTTGCATTATTTATTATGTATTTCTATATATATCCTTATTTCTATAGACGTAGATGGTTTATTTTTGCACTGAAGTTCTATTTCAATATTCATTCTTTTTCATGTAGTGTATTAATCAGATGAATAATCAAAAAGTGAAACCCTGCATTGAAACTAAAACCTAAAGGTATTTCATTTTGGCTTGCGCGCGCTCGTATGACGTCACATTTGAGATAATATGGCGGCCATTGGCCACACTCTGCCTAGACCCCCTCTACTTAATGCAATCCAACAGACCTTTATTATTGTGTGACAGATCGAGACGTCACGTGTCGTAATGGGCATGAGGTATGATCGTATGGATCGTATGGATCAATTTATTGTATTTTAATAGTGTAGAACCTAAATCATTTCTTGATGAAATTAAGTCAATTTCGATAAATATATTTTTTAGATAAACCAACGCCCCATGATATAAAACTTAATGTTTCATCCGTTTTCTATTTCTTTCTACTATAAAACTTAATATGTTTTATATAAGTGATTTCTATTCAATTTCAGGTTCATTATGTCTTCCACTACAAATACAAAACAACGTTACAAAAATTGTATTAGATGCAACTTGAATGAAAGAAAATCAACGGGCTACAAAAGGTTTATTCAATTACAATCTGTGGTGGATGATTTGAAAAAATGTCTTAACGTTGATGCTGAAATTGACGATTTTATCTGTAGCAAGTGTTACGCTGTTTTTTCATGTACGAGGAGTAGGTTGACAAAAGAAGAAGCGACAACAACAAATCAGTCTGAAGATAGAGTATCCCAATCGTTCAGCCAACTATCTGTTTCTTCAACAAATTCGTCTCAACAAACTGATCCTGGAGATCCTCCTATATTGTTTACTGAACGAAAGATAGTCGAGGAAGACGAAATAGAATTACCTATACCAAGATGTATTGCCACACATAAATATTGCTGTATATGCAGAAAAGATCGTAATCTTATGGCAGTACCAATGGAAGGCCGGTTGCAAGTTTTCACTGTGAGGAATATTTTCATTCGCGCTGGTAATCGATGTTGCAAGGATCATCTTATTAAAAAACATTTATACGAAGAAGTTATGAATAACATCATAGCAACATCTAATGTTAGCAGTATGAAAGCTTCTGATGTTTCTAATTTTTTACAAAAGTTCAGAATAGATGTTGATAAAGAGCTTACTGACAAAGTTGGAGATTTTTCTTTACCTGAAAATCGTCTCATCATTTTCACGGGCTTGACATGGGAAAATCTTTTCGAACTGCGTGCAATGATGACATCACTACGTAATTCAGATTCTCGAAATGTCACTCAAGCCATCGTCGTATTTTTATTCAAACTGCGAACAGGCAACTCTAATAACGTTATTTCTTCTGTGCTCGGTTTGGAGCGTCCTCAACAAGTGTCTGATTTTTCAGCTTCAGTATTAGAATCATTTGAAAAAGATGTGCTACCATCTCGTTTTGGTATAAAAGCAGCGAACCAACAGTACTTGATAGAAAATCACACTGCTCCAGTCGCAAAATTATTGCACGATTTTAACGATAGTCAACTGGGTTTAGTATGTGACGGTACATATCTTAGGCATGAAAAAAGTACAAATAACGAATATCAACGTAAATCGTATTCAGGTCAAAAAAAAGCTCCGTTGTGCAAACCCTTTACAATTTGCACAACTAATGGTTATATAGTAGATATGTTGGGCCCGTATTATGCGAATGTTAACGATGCAAAAATACTTGAAGATATTTTTAATGATCCTGAAGGTTTAGTCACTCTTTTAAGGCCTGGTGATAAATTTTTTTTGGACAGAGGTTTTAGAGATGTTATTTGCAAGTTAACTGAAATGGGGTATGAAGGACTCATGCCAGCATTAAAAGGTCAACGAAAACAGCTAACAGCCACTGAGGCAAATAATTCACGCATGGTTACAATTGTACGTTGGGTCGTTGAAGCAGTCCACGGTGTTATCAGCCAAAAATACAAACTTTTACATAATCAATTTGACAATAAAATGATTCCGCACGCAGGAACATACTGTCGCATAGCTTGCTTTCTTATCAATATATTTGGGAAAAGATTCGTCTCCAGCATTTCTAGTAGTGAAGAAGTGGTTAACCTTATGAAAAGGAAAAAAGACACGGGCAATAGCTTGGCGGAAGAAGCGGAAAGTGGAAGATGGAGTAGGCGAAGAACGAAATTCATGAAACTAACTTCAAACGATATTTTAGATTTTCCAGAAATGACAGAAGAAGATTTGAAAATTTGTTTCACAGGAACGTATCAGTTGAGCCAAGCAATTTCGTATTTAGCTGAATTAATTGATGAAGAGGGTCGAGTAAATATTGATTATCTGAAGGAATCATCAAGTGTACTCAAAATTCAAGTTCGTTCTCGCCACATATCTGCCAAAACATATAATTGTTACGTAGAATATACTCCTAATTCGATTGGATATGGTGGAGTCAAAAGATACTATTGTGAATGTGCAAATGGAATGAGAACCGTTGGTTGCTGTTCAGATATAGCTTCAGTAATTTACTTTTTATCGCATGCTCGATACTTGTCTAAAATTATAAGGCCGGCTGAAAAATTGACAAAAATCTACCAAGAAAAAGAAATAGTTCCTGTCATAAATGATGACAGCGATGAAGACTAAACAAATATTAGAATAAACGCCTCTTCAAAACGATCTACTTTGGTAATTTATTTTTATCCTCTTATTTGCTGTTGGTACTGTTAAGCTTTTGTGATTTTATTATGAAAAAAAAAGATAACATTCGTATCAATCATATGGCATTCCAACAGTGTGGAACTTGCTCATAAAAAATATAGAAATATATTCAATCGTAATATTTTATTGATGCATCTTATATCAATTTAGTTTGGAGAATATTAATCGGAAGTTACAAATCCTTTGCGATATGTAGAATAGAGTAATTTTCCGGTAACCGTTACCATATTTCTTCTCTGTGTACAATAACTGATAAATATCATTCACTACATTACACGGAACGTTGTAGAAAAATTCTCAAAAAATTATCCGCTGATTTATTCATCTCACTGAATATATAATCGAATAAGAGGTTCAGCCAATGATCAATCTACATTTAGATGGTATAAAGACATCATATATAACCGCAGTAACTATAGAATTGAGAAAATATAGAAAAATGAATGATTTTCGATCGATGGAATTGAGTGAAACGTCGGAAACGTAGGAAAAATGATCGAAAAATGATTATTAATTTTTTTATCGATGTTCCACCACTTGAAAAAATCTGAAAAAATTTGAGTATATAGAGGAATATAAAATAAACAAAACAAATTTTTTCAAGCTCGGAGTTATTTTTTGTTTTTTTTTTTCAATTTTTAAAAATTAGAAACCGTTCTAAAAATCTAAGACAAATTTTTTGCCGTTCGGCTGGTTCCGTTAGCTATTATAGAAGCCGAGTTATCTCAAAAAAACGGTTTGATCCTTTTTTGGACCTACAGGGTGCCCCTGGCCACCTAGGGGTCTGAAAATTTGGTCAGAAGAGTTTCTAATCAAGCCCTACAAGATGCCATATTCCGCTTGGCTTAACCGTTGGGGGCAGTTTCGACCATCTTATCCGGCTAGGCCCTTTATATGTATCTAGCTTTTATTGAAATAAATAATGTTGTTTTCATTTATAAATATTACATTTTTTTTTATTTTTTCTGTATTTAAATTCACATAAGGTTTAAGCCAAGGCTTCTGATTAAATTTTAGCGCTCTATGAATCATTTTGAGTTTTAGTCCCAACCTTATAGTCTGTTCAATAATATAATAATGCTCTATAATAAATAACATACCGCTCTTTATCATAAAGCGTAGTCAAAAGTTTTTCTGAGTCGAACCATGTGGTTGACTATGCTCAGGACAAAACGGAAGATTCTTATGTTCGTCATGTAACTCTTTAAGATACTCTAGATCTACTTTTAATATATGGCACATTCCAGACTATGACGATCAAATTTCAGGGGTATATTTTGAATTTTATTGAAACTTAGTATACATATTGTCTATATGGTAGTATATTTAAGTATGAATTATTAGATCATTATAATAATTATATTAAAAGTTATAAACAATTGAAATTTTTACGAAAAATTTTTAAAAATTTATATCTCCACAACGATTTAAGTTACTGAAGTGAATTTTATTTCAATTACGCGTAAAAGGGTGTACTTGGAAGATATTAAGCGAAGAATACTGTAATATCAATTTTTCCAAAAGTTATTAACATTTTTTTTAAACAATTGACCATTTCTTAGAAAGTATTATTTTTATTTTCAAAATTTTTTTTCTATTGAATTCATTTTAAAATTCTTCAAATGATCATTAGATGCGATACAGTGAACGAATAGTAGACGCTCACAGGCCATACAACGCTCGCTCGGCCGCGCGTCCGCGGCGCTATTACCAAACTTTTTTCTTTTTTTTTATTTAACGTCACTCTATTTATGCTCCATCAGTGCTAATAATCGACGGAAGCTTGCAATGTGAATGTATCAATCCCGATCAATCAATGTGTCCCTGCCGGGCCTACCGGGTCCGTCGCCCTACCGACCGAGCCATTGTAGGTCTCTGTTACCAAACTTACCGACTTATCGGCGTCGTATGGCCTGTCAGAAGTCATAACCATCAGATTACACCTTAAAAGCGTATGATGGGTATTGTTTACGATTCAAAGAACTGTAGAGACTATACGTATAAGCATTGAAAAAAGCAAACCCACCAGCAACCGTCGATTTAAATTGAAAACGTCAACACGGCGAACTCCAGTCATCAATCGTCATCGGAAAGCGTAAGCTTTAACATGACAAAAGCTTAAAGTTCCCTAAAAGTTTTGGGCTAAGAGTAGTTCTTGGTGGAAAATAAATTGCCTAATTTTTTTTACTGTTTTCAACGAAATAATGGAGAATATTCTAGAAATACCTATCGTCTTCAATGAATCTTTGGCTCATTACGAGATCCACGCTCGTCAACCTTACACTAATTCATCGTTCAAAAATAGTAACGAGATACGTATATCAATTCAACATCAAGACATATGTCTTTTACCATATTGCAGAATACTGTTAATAAATAATTTTGTTAATAATACCATTTGTCACATGTTTGAAGAAATTAGGTATAAGCTGAACGCTATAGAAATAGATAAATGTAATAATGTTGGTCTTACATCAATTATGAAAAACTGGTTATCTCTCACTCCAAGTCAAACTTTGATTGCCGAAAATACCGGATGGATAATTATAGTTAATAATAAAATAACTAATGGGAATGGCGATTTTGATATTTTAATTCCATTGAGTTTCGTATTTCGATTTGCTGAGGACTATCGCAAAGTTCTAGTGAATATGAAACACGAATTAATTCTAATAAGATCGAGTACCGATGTAAATACAGTTTATCAAACGAAGAAGATCGTCAACGACGTTGACGCTCACGAAGAATTCAAGATTGATGTAATGTGTCTAGAATAGATTATGCCCTATTTGACTGCATCGAATACAAAGAAAATACGTCTACTCGACTTTCTAAAAAGCGAACAAAGTATTTTAATGAGTTTTCGTAGTTGGGAACTGTACGAATATCCAGTGCTGTTTGCAAATATAAATCTCGTCTGGACAATTAAAACGTTGGAGAAACCACGCTACGTCATCTTAGCCTTCCAAACTAATCGAAAAAATGAACCCAACTCTAACGCTAGTTTATTTGATCATTGTAACATCAGAAATATAAAACTAGAAAAGAAATGTACCACAACTCTCAGTGCAACCCATATATCAATCTCAACATTGATTTTAGTAAAAAACAGTACGTAATGTTGTACGAAATGTATGCCAATTTTCAAAAATTTTTTCAAAAACGTATACTACGGTAAAGATGCTGAACTGATGCTTAAAAAACTCGAATATAAGAATTACATGCCACTTGTAATGATTGACTGTTCGAAACAAAACGAGTCATTGAAGACTGCTCCAGTAGATGTGCGCTTGGAGTTCGAAACCAAAGAAAATATTTCCGAAGAAATTACAGCGCATTGTCTTATTCTACACGATCACATTGTTCAGTATAATTCGATAAATAGAGATGTGAAGAGACTTATTTAAGAGGGGAAAGGGGAATTATAAAATTAATTCTTTTCTTAAGCAGCTTAGTAGTAGCTTTCTATCACAGTGGAGTACGTAGTAAATATGCAAGGCTTCATGATGCCTGGCAAAACTTATGCTGTAAAAAAGTTGGTGATACTTCCACTTAACTACAACGAAGAACCACTCGTACGCTTGTTCAAACCTTTTTTTTCATGTCAAAGACTAATAGAAAAATATAAGCGACAAAATCTCTGGTTAGAACTCTACTATCATGGATTAACAGTGAACTCTGGCGATTTTAAATATGAAGAGCATAAATTCATCATCACAGGTACACTCAAAGATGCCACAAAAATTTTCGTTTCCAGAGTTCTGAAAAAAGAGTGGTTAGAACGGTATGGCTTCAAAGTTTTCGACTTGAATGATTGAGTCTATTCACCTTTCGAAAAATTAAAATCAGTTGCCGTGTGCCCTAATCATAACGGCAAATACGTAACGACATGTGCACATCAAAACGTTAAATTAATGAAAAAATTTTGAATCGATGATTGTTGCATGGATTGGAAAGAGAGCGATGAAGTCGTTGAAGGATTTCTATAGTGATTTTTTTTAAAGTAGATAATTTGTAGAATAACATGTATTTCTAAGAACGTGTAGAATAAGGTATATTTTTATCAATAAAAAATTTTTTTTCAATTGATACAAAAAAAATATTCTTTTATTTGTTATTAAACAATCAAGAAAAGCGAAATTCTTCGCTGACAACAACAGCAGCAGCAGCAGTTCATCTTTTTATAATAAATTTTATATTTTTATCAATAAAAAATAAATTCGTAAAAGATAGAATTTAGATGAAAAAAAATGTTTTTCTATTGTAGTTGAGGTGGTGTACTCGTATAATTATGACATATGTACATATAATTATTAGTGCTTCTTTTCGTTATTGAACTGATGATAGCGTTTTTGTCCAGGAAAATTATTAATATTGCTTGAAAATTTGAAAATAGTTTGTTTCCGTGTTTACTGTCTTACTGTTTGTTCTTCTTTTCGTCGAGGTCTTCTTGGAGAAGACAAGAGTACTTTGCTTTAGGGTAGCAATCTATTTTATTGGAATACTGGTTAATTCGATTATTCTTACGCTGTGCTATTTATAGTAGCTTACAACCACGAAGAATACAAATAAAAGAAAGTAAGCAGGTTTCTATGTTGCATATTTTTTTCATCTTGGTCTTCATATGTACTTACACTTTTTTTTTAATTAAACCATCTTTGGCAGGTAACACAAACACACATACACGTGTGCGCGCGCATATTGCACTGCAAAAAAATTCATCATATACTAGTTATAATAAATATATATAATATTTATTATAAAAATATATATAATATTTATTGTAATTAGTGTATAATATAAAAAAATTAATTATATACTAATTATAATAAATATATATAAATAGCATTCTTATTTATATATATATTAGCGCTTGGGGTTTTATACCAATCGTGTGTGTAGCCAATATATACAATAAAAATTGT